AATATATTTTAGTTGAATCCAAGCAAGTCAAGAAGCACTTATTAAGCACCTACTATGTGTCAGGCATTATGCTAAGTGCTGGGATACAAAGACAGGCAAAAGATAGGGCACTCCCTGCCCTCAAGGAGCTCACAACATGGGAGACAACATGCAAACAACTATGTACAAACAAGACAAGGACATATACGAGACAAATTGGAGATAATTTCAGAGGGAAGATACTACATTAAGGAGATCAGGGATGGCTTCTTGAAGATGGAATTTTGGGGGCAGTTAGATGGTGCAGTGGATAGAGCACCAGCCCTGGAGTCAGGACAACCTGAGTTCAAATCCGACCTCAGACACATGATACTCACTAGCTGTGTAACTCTGGGCAAGTCACTTAAACTCGACTGCCTTGCCAAAAAAAAAAAAAGGGAAATTTTAACTGAAACTTGAAAAAAGCCAGGAAAACTGGGAGGTGGAGATGGAGAGGCATGAGTGACAGCCAGTGAAAATGCCCAGTCAGGTGATATAACATCCTCTCCAAGGAACAGCAAGGAGGCCAGTGTCAATGTATAGTAGATAATATGGAGGGGAGTAAGAAATGAGGGGCCTGGAAAGGTAGAAGGGAGTCAGGTTCTAAAGGGCTTCAAAAGCCAAACAGATTTTATATTTGATGCTGGAGGTGATAGGAGTCATTGGAGTTTATTGAACAGGGGCATGATATGTTCAGATCGGCACTTTAGGAAGATAACTTAAATTTCTGTTTTTCTTTTGGTCATGCTATCTGCTGTGTACACACAGAAACAGCACTGTGAATTAGAAAAATCGTAAGCACAAATATTACCCCAAATGAAAGGTGAGGGGCTCTCTGTGCCAGAGATCTTTTTGTTAAATGGCAAAGGGCCCTTTCTAAAATTGGTTTGGAGGCCTAGAATTTAAATGATGCTGCTAGAAAGAATTAAAGCTGACCACAACAATCTGTGGTGCTGATTAAGCCTTCTTAGCACACAAAGCACAAAACCCACAGACTTGCAAATAATTATACAGCATATTTTCATAAGGAACAATCTTTTTCTGCACGGAAAGCCAGACTTTAAACCTAAGAATAGTAGCACTTTTATCGGTTCTGACGTTGAATACAAGGTCCAACTTTTGTGATTAAATTTCCTTATGGGAAAAATGAGAAGAATAATACTTCTCTGAAAAGCATTCAAGACACCATATCACAGTACAGTATTCTTTCATATGATATATATATATATATATATATATATATATATATATACACATATAGTATGTGTCTGATTGACACGTCTTTGGAAAACTGGGTGTATTTTTAAAAAAACATATTAGTAGCTGTTTTTCAATTCCTTGCTCCTTTTGCTCATGAAAAGTGTTACTATATTTAATTTTGCATGAATTTCCTCTATACCAATGATTTATGTTCACAAAGACCACATTTATAAAGTGTAAGGGACTGGCAGTGAGAAAAACTGAAGTTCTCCACTATTAAGGCCAGAAGACTCTGGATGACTGCCCTACAAACATCATTCCTGCCCCTGCCTTGGAGACAAGAAATAATTCACATTCTGCCCTTGTTCAGTAATAGGCTTTTCCTAGAAACAGACTACAAATCAGTGGTGTTCTGGAAAAAGATCACTAACAAAATACCTTTTGAAGCTTGATAATCTATCCTGAAACTTCATCCAGGTCAGCTGGAGGAAGATCACAAGTGTACACACCTCCAGCAATTCACAGAAGATTCGGCTTTCTTTACAATACTTCTTTTCATGAAGCCTGAGATCTTTCTTTATTCGCTTTTAGAGTTTAAAGGGACACAGTGGTTTTGTAAACCCTTGCCTAACAACTAGAAAAAAAGAACACGAATACCCCTTTTACTACTATGGGTAGCAGAAATTAATAAGTTTAATTTAATAAATACCATTATAATGGCTAGCAAGGCTATTTCCCTGTTTTGGTCATATCCTATATTCTTATTATGATGATGTAGCCGGAAAGAATTTTATGCAACAAGAAAGCTTATATGACAGCAGCATTCACAAATCTATTCATTATATAGTTAATCTCTTTAATAAAAGTTATTTAAATGAGATAGTAATTTCATTTTTTTTTTTGGTGAGGCATTTGGGGTTAAATGACTTGCTCAGGGTCACACAGCTAGTTAAGTGTCAAGTGTCTGAGGTCACATTTGAACTCAGGTCCTCCTGACTCCAAGGCTGGAGCTCTATCCACTGCGCCACCTAGCTGCCCCAGATAGTAATTTCTAAAGGGCTTAGCACAGTGCCTGGCACATAGTAGGTGCTTAATAAATGCTTATTCCTTTCCCCTTTAATGAAGATGCCTTTTTGGTGAGGTATTTATGTATGGCACTTAACATATTAATGTATACCACACAAAAGCTCAAAGATGGGGGGGAAAAAGCCCCATATTTACTGAAATACTCCAAGTAGTACTTTTTTGTGGGAGGAAAAAATTGGAAACAAAACAGTACCCAATGACTTGGGAATGACTGAAATTTTGTGATAAACGAATGTAACAGAAGAAAAGGATTTGTTCTGTGAAGTTTGGATTCAGTCAAAGGGCCGCACGTGAGGACCTAGCGGGCTACATGTGGCCTCAAGGCCACAAGTTCTCCATCCTTGGAATAATTCACTGTGATAAACAACACATATCTGATAAGAGGCAGAGTGGTATGGTGGAAAGAACACTAAATTTGGAGCCAGAGAATCTATTTTCAAATCCCAGCTTTGCTACTTATTGCAAGGCCTTTAGGAAATCACTTAACCTATCTGGTCCTGTTTTCTCACTTTGAAGAATGAGGGTTGGACTAAATGACTTTAAAATTTCTTGTGGGAGCAGCTAGGTGGCTCAGTGGATAGAGCACCGACTCTAGAGTTAAGAGGACCTGAGTTCAAATCCAGTCTCAGACCAGAGACCTGACACTAGCTGTGTGACCCTGGGCAAGTCACTTAACCCCAACTGCCTTGCCAAAAAGAAAAAAAAATTTTTGTGTGAGTTCAAAGAAACAAAGGAAGACTTGTATGATTGGTTGCAGAGTGAGGGAAATAAACAGAAACAAAAGAAAAATATACTTGACTACAAAAAAGGCAAAGGAAAATAACACTAAAAATTAGTCAAACTCCTATGATGACCAACCTTGGTGCTAAGCAGGTCAATATTCTCTTTGGAGGGGAGATGGGGGATTGTGGGTGAGTAATGTTGCATGCAAAATGATTCTATAGTGAAGGGGGAGAAGGGAACAAGCATCGATTAAGCACCTAATCACGCACTGTCCTTAACACTTTACAAATATCTCACGGGACGCTGACCACAACCTTAGGAAGTAGGTACTATTATTATCCTCATTTTACAGTCAAGGAAACTGAGGCAGAGGTTAAGTCATTTGCCCAGGGTCACAAAGTGATCTGGTCTTCCTGACTCCAAGCCTAGCACTTCATCCACTGTGACACCTAGTAGGTCAGCTTTGCTTAGCTATCTTCCTTACAGGGGAGGATTTAATAAGGAGATAGGATGGACTGAAAAATAATTATGTTGGTTAAAAAACACACATAAAACTAAAAAAAAAATTCAAGCAATGTTGAATACATATATATTTAGTAACGAAAATTTATGTTTAGTAATGAAAATTTAAAAATGCATAGATGTGATGTGTATGTACACATAAAGTTCATTATTTTGGGGGGAGGCGGGTATGGAAGGTTTCTTCCATACTTAGAACTGTTATACTACGGCAAAGATGGTGAAGGACAATTATGGGCTGTTTGGGTGATTGAGCTAGTTTGTGTGGTGCCTGATGGGAACTTGACTATGGAGCAATGAAGGTTACGAAAAGCAAAGGGTTGAGGCTCCCTTGGGTGGCAGCAGTTGGTGCTAGCCTATCTTCTAGGGAGGGGAGGAAAAGGGAGGGGAAGGTCTTCACTGAATTCCCTAGGTGCTCCATTAGTATGCTTTTTATTTAGATAATCTCTAAGGTTCCTTCCCATTCTAAATTCCATTATAATCCTTTTAAAAGGATACATACAAGTACCAAATAGAATTTACATTAAACATCAATGGATGTATTTTTAAAAAATAAATAACCATACCCTAACAAATATTTTGAGGCAATTACATCCTATTTTGACCTTCACATAACAAAAAGAAACAACAAGAGGAAAGGTGAAAACAGAGCTAAAAGAGTAAGTGAAGAATGGAACTAAGGATACACTTAAGGGTTATAGAGGGGTAAAATTGCTTTTCTCACTTTTCTGGTGCTTAGGAGTGGTAGGCAATTTTATTTTTATTTTTATTATATGCTAATTATATGCTAAAGGTTCTATGGTACCCTTAAAAGCATTTTTATTTCATAGAAACTATTATGCTCCAAAGAGGTGGTATTCATCTAGTGTATCATTGTGGATCTGTCATCTTCTCAGCTTACCTGCTATTAGTCGCCTTTAGATGGTACTTCTTTAGTTACAGCTGAATAGTGCTCCTGGAAGATCCATTAGTAGTCTATTTACACTATATTAACAATGGCAGCTGGTACATATTGGGCCAAGGTGAGCACTCCCGAGTTTCTCATGGCCACCATGCCTCTTTCTCCCCCAATCCCATTTTGGATTTTTCCAGCACATCAAAAACAAACAAATAAATAACAGCACAGGAACATTTCTTATTTAGCAGTTTTAATTTATAAAGGTTTACTACCAGCCACTTCTGGCAAATCCCTCTTCAATTAAAATTATGTTCTCAAAGTAGAAAAACAGAATTAAAAGATCTCAAAAATAATATCCAAGTAAACCATCCAAATTCAACGAATTCTGTAAAATATCTACTCCCTCTCCCATGATAAGCACTAAGTGAATAGTAGCCTAAGACCCTCCAACTTTAAGTTCTGAACCAATAAAAAGGGTTAATATTGAAGACTGATTTATAGTCCAATTCAAAAAGTACAATCTTTAAAATCTCAATATCAGAATATACACTATTACCTGCTGCTTGACAGACTGGAGTTTTCTTGTCTTAGTAAAAAAGATGAGTCTTCCTTGGGCTGACAAGTTCTTTTTTTTTTTTAATCTGCTTAGGGGAAAAAGAAGAGAAAAGAAAAGAAAGGAAAAAAAAACCCTAAACTCAATCTAGTATTTTATTCAGGTGAATGGAGATTCTGTGAATACATACACACACCAACTACTTGTGAATTTCCACTGGGCAGACAACACCAGCTGAGAAGTTGCTATAGCAACACTTGTACACTGAACGTTTTATTGCTCTTGGGCAGAGAAGGAAATTTGCTACTTGGCCATAAGGGTGGAGTCAGAGGTAGTGATAGGTAACTCTAAGATATATAAGGTATTTCCAGAGGATCACAGAATATTAGAGCTGGAAAAGACCCTAAAGCAACAAGATCCAACATTTCCCTGTTTTCCTGTTGAAGGGAGAGAACTGCTATAATTTTATCCATAAGCTATTATTAAAAACTTGTAGATCTGTACTTTATGATTAGAACTGTTATACATTAATCAAATTCATACTGTCATAAGTATACACAGATCATGGAATGTTGTGTTTGGATGGCATAGTTAACAGAGTGCTGGATTTGAACTCAGGTCTTGCTGCTTCAGAAATTTATGGACTGTGGGACACTGGGCAGGTCATCTTCTTTCAGCCTCAGTTTTCACCATCTGTAAAAATGGGGATAACAACAGCACCTTCCCTATAGGGTAATCGGGAAAGATCAAATGAAATAACATATATATATATATATATATATATATTTATGCGCATACATACACACACACACACACATATATTTTAGGACACACAGTCTAATCTCTTATTTTTAAAAAAAAATTTTTTAACTGAAATAACAAATTTAAAGCACTTGGAAGACCTTAAAGTGCTTTATAAATGCTGCCTGTTATTATTATTGTGGTTAGAAGTGACATCTACCTAGTTCAATGTCCTCACTAAAAATAAAGTCCTACGTCCTTCAACTATATCACACTATCAGAAAACAAACACTGAAAACTACCATAAGTACACATGGGTTTATTTGGAGAGGCAGGGCCACACAGCGCAAAAGAACACTGTATCTGGAGTCAGAGGAATAGGATTCAAGTCTTGGCATTAACATTTATTACACACTCTACCTTAGGGACTCAGTCTCTATGACCTCACTTCTCTTATCTATAACATAAAGGAAGTTGGACTAGATGACTACTGAGGTCCCTTTCAGCTCTAAATCTATGAATCTATGAGTAAAGTTTAAACAAAGGCCTGGGCCCTTGAAAAAAGGAAGGCAGAAGAGAGAACACTCTGGTATGGACAATGTCAATAAGAACAGGATTCATAAAATGCTTACGACATTCCAGACACTGTGCTGATGTGATAATAGTGGAGTTGAGGGGTTATAGGACCATAAGATGACTTAGAGATGGAAACGACTTTAGAGGTCATCAAATCCAATCTCCTCACTTTATAGATGGAGAAACTCAGGCTAGAAAGCTTTAAGTGACTTGCCTGGTTCTTCCTGACTCCAAGTTCAAAGCTCTAGCCACTAAGCCAGGTTGCCTCTTGGATCTTCCAAGGGTTGCTACCTGTTGAGAGTTATTGCTAAACACAGAGAAACTACCCTATTTATTTTCCTACAGGAAAATATGACTTAGGGCAATTGCATATAACAGAGTTCTCTGTTTTCAATTAGCTCTCATGGCAATGTACAGGAAATTCTTTTGCCATAGCCAGAGTGAATTCTAATTCCTCTTTCCCCCGGATATTACTCATCTTCCTCTTTCCCTCTGGGTACATTTCCTTGGGATTCACTCTCCCTACTTCCTTAATTCTGACCCTCATATAACCCCAGCCAATGTACTAGGGGGATGTGAACTCACTAAAAATGAAAATTTTGAAAGAACAGGAACAATGAGTAAAAGGATTACTTTCATGAAATAATAGGGATAGGGACTAGACTTATGACTTTACAGAGAACTCCTGGATGAGGGAATACACCTTTTCTGCAACTTATAGTCCTAGAGATTTGCTTAGAACATTGAGAGGTGAAGTGATTTATCCAGAATGACACAGTCAGAATATGTCAGAGGAGAGACCTGAACCCAGATCTTTCTGGCTCTCTATCCACCACACAATGTTGCCTCTGCTTTATGAAATAATCCAAAACAAAAGAAAACCAGAAGCACATGAAATGGGTGCTTACTAAGTATTCCCATATAAGAGGAAAACTATGTGGGACTAGACAAAAAAAAATCCTGATAAAAAATGGATACTTGTTACATTGAAATAAATTAAATTACAAGCAAGTTTATTTGGTTATACTGATGTTCCATCTTAAGTGTTAAATAAAAGATTAAAGTAATAAAAATTGCAGAGGAGGATTACAGTAAAGATATTTATAAAGTAAAAATACAGACAGAGAAGGGAAGCTTCTATGTTTGAATCAATACTTTCTCAAGGCTGGACAATTTGGGGGTTAGAAATTGTCGGTTTTTGAAGATACTGGGTACAGTAAATAGTTTAAGAAGGGAGAGACCACAGGTTTGGAGCTAGAAGAAACCTCATAGGTTATCTAGCCTCTAATTTCAGAGATGAGGAAACAGGTTCAAGGACACTACATGATTAACCTAAGATATTTAGGACAATAGGTACTAAAAGCAGCAAAAATGAGATTCAAACCACTGAAATGACTGGGAATGATTTCATGGAAAAGATGTGACTTGGGTTGGGCTTTGAAGACTGGGTAGGATTTGGACAGTCAGTCAGAGATTAAAGAGGAGCATTTACAGATCATGGAATAATAAAAGCAAAATTAAGGAGGTAGAATGGTATAAGCTCAAGTATGTTATGTTGTGAAAACAGTAAACAGATTCATCAAGTAAAGATGTGTTCAGGGGTTACTTCTGGAGATTATTATTTTTAATCTAAAGTTTCTTCTCCAAAAACATTTTAATTCACAGACCTAACATAAAGTTGGTAAGAAGCATCAATTCCATTTCCCTCAAGATTAGAGATTTTAAAGTTCCTTACCTCAAATTCAAGAATGAATTTTGCCAATGCTGTTTCTAAAATTTAGTTCTAGACATGTCCAAAAATAAATAATTCTTCTAAAATTTGATGAAATCATGCCACGATATTTCAATGAATAAGAGAAAGAAACCACTTAGTCTGGGGAACTCCTAGCAAGTCACTCAGCATTAATTTTTTAAAAAATACTATTATTTAATACTTTATGAGCATGAAACATAATTAGAAAATTCTTAAAAGTTACATTAAATTAAAATCACTTCAGACAATTAAAAATTCCCAATGATCAGCAAGGTTCATTGAAATTGAATTCTACACCATTGCTCTACTGTTCCCACTTGATGTCGTCTTTTCTCAATGTCATTTGGATCTTTTGGAAACGATTTTGTGGCATGTGACAACTGCAGTTTTCCTGTGGAGGCTTAGTCTTATTTGTGCCCTTTCTGGTGACCACCATGACTGGCACATTCTTTGTTCTTTTATAGTTTTCATCTTCTGGCTCATTGCTGAATGCTTCACTCTTTGAGTTTTGAGACTTTTGTTGCAGTTTATTTACCTTGGAAGGAAAAAACCATAAGGAATAAGATAGTGAGAAATCTCAAAATAGTAGGGTGAGGCCAAGTGAATATATGAAATAAAAAGAAAGTATATTGATAGTTTAGTTGAATTGGATAAGTGCCTACTACATTGCCTAGTACTGTGAGCTATAGAAAAAAAAAAGCTGCTGACAATCTTAATAAGGGAGCTGAGACATATAAAATTAAACAAAGAATACCACAAAACAATTGGTTATCAACAAGTGCAACTCTCCATAACAATTCTACTCTAAACCACCAAATTTAGATGACAACAACCTAGTACCTATCGGAAGCACCACTAAGAAGTGGTAATGGTACTAGAGAAGATGAAATTGTTAAGAACACTTACCCCTGGCAAAAAATGTGTAGAAGAACTTTATATTGGAAGTGACATGATATTAAGGGCATTTGGGGATCAATCTTTAACATATTTCAAGGACAGTAAGATTCCAAAAGAATGGAAAATATTAAAAACAAATGCTTTTACAGAAGGCAACAGGGAAGACATCAGCAGCTACTGGACCATATGCAAGGTTTTGTCATGTTCAAAAAGTCTTTAAGAGAACAGCTTATGCAATTTTTAAGGGTACTTTGATGAAAATATGAGAAGGAATCAGGCAGGCTTTCACAAATGATTTTCTATAGCAGACCACAAGTTTATGGTTCCACAAGTGAGAGGTGATGAAGATAGAAGATATAGCTAATGTCTATCATTTATTGATTTTTCAAAAGCTTTTGACGTGGTACAACAAAACACAGCCTTAAAAGGTCTTTTCAGATAAGATGTCTCTCATGCAAATGTTACAATCATACCTGTCTGTGAGAGACTTAACTACAGAGATAACTTTGATCAATAATATGCCAAGTACTGACATCAAGTGGGATGTAAAACAGGGAAATAGGTATGTTTATGTAAGGCCAATCTCTTGGAAGAGGTCTCCACTGACCACAAGAATGCTTCAAATGATATTTGCACTGAATACGGGAATACTACATATTAGACATCAGTCTAATCATCTAGACTGGAAAAGTTAAATATATGAAAAATGCATATTATCCAGATTTTGACAGAGCTGGTTAGGTAACCTGTCAAATTAGTCCATCAATATCTGTGCCTTGCCAGGAGATTGTGGAACTAGGATATTATTCTGTTACTTAGTTAATACTTAGTTGATGTTAAAGTTGTCAGTTGTCTCAGAGTTTGATACAATTAATTAATGTTAAAAGAAGAACAGTTTGTGACTTCTATTGTAAATGCCTTGAAAGAAGCATCCATTTTAATTAAGGATTATTTATTTGTATATGACTAGAAGTTGGGATTGTTTTAGCATTTGATATGTACTGGTTTTAAATTAACTACTATGTATTGGAGTCTGTTATTAATTCCTTAGTTTAATCTCATCCTCCTGATGGAGGAATATGAATAGGAATGAATACTGAATTAATGCAAGATATAAAAGCAGAAGTACTACAGAGTGTAAGTCTAAGGCTAGGTTCTAATTTTTCTAATTTGAGTTTCTTAAAATATGACAATTGGCCAAGGTTCCAATTTTGACCTTGTAATAGTGGAGACATGGGGGTTGAGTTAACTTTCATTATTTGCCCTGGTTATTGGCAAGGTAATTTAAAAATTGTGTTGAGACCAATCTTGTAGGAGAATGGACACAAGAAGGAGGATCTCTACAAGAAAAGAGTCTGCTGGACACTGTTTGAACAGCACCTGGACCAGAGGACTTCACCAGATGATGTCCAGAGTGTCAGACGGCTGTATGAGAAGAGACTTCTGAAGCTTTAAATGGACAATTTATCGTTGCCTTTGGGTCTCAGTGTCAGTACCTAATAAGGGGACTGTCCCCTTTTTAATTTGTCAGTGCATCAGCCAATTCTTCCCTTCCTTCTCCCATATTGTTTTAAGTCCCCAAAATCCCTTGATGAAATGTTGCCCAACAGTACAACCCCAGACAGAACCATCACTAAGGAACTGCAAGATTTCACCACTTTAGCTGAGGAGTTGGCAGAGAACTCTGGGATAAATAACTGATTAAACGGATGGTTGGAATCCTGGTTTGGCAAATGGAAAGGAATGGCTGCATTCATTCAGGAGTATTAACTGCTGTAGGATGTTGTATAGTTCCATGCACTAGAGGACCGGTACAACAATTGATAGAGACATCCCTCGCTAAAGATTATCCCAGTAGGACCCACAGTGGTAGTTCAGAGGGCAGGCTCTGGCAATATAAGGATGATGATTCAAAGTACCAATGAGACTTTCCCCAGTGATAGAGAATGTGAAACCATGTTGAGGAGATTAGAGGATAAGGAAATTGGGAAGGCATGGAAACCAAATCTTCACTTTAAAAAAAAAAAGATAGGAATTGTGAGAAATGAAAGAGTTAAGTTTCCACATAAGTAGAAAAGAAATCAGCACAGACAGGCTAACTTTTTCATCGGGGGTGGGGGGTGGAAGGGAATGGGGGTGGGGGGAGTGACAACACAATTCTAGGCACATAATGTATGTTAAGGGTGGGGCATATATGGAAGATTGTAACCCAGAAGGATTAAGACCAATACTGATCCAGAAGGGAGGAGTTAGGCAATTACTAACTATAAAGCTTGCTCTGGCTTCTGTACCAGCACACTCTCCCCTTCAAAGGAGGTGTGCCCGCTTCTCAAGAATCGAAAGGATGTACGTATATATATGTGCATCCTTTCGATAAATATATATATATATATATATATATATATATATATATATATATATATATATATATATATATATATATATGTATGTATGTAGGTATGTAGGTATGTAGGTATGTGCCTTGCACAGGTACTGTACTGGAGCTGGCACCAGAATTAAGCAGAAGAAAAAAGTTAGAATGTCAACAAACTCTAACAGTCAGGTGCCCAAAAAGCCTATTTCATTAAGACCAATTTTCTCCTGGTAATCCATCTGGCTGCAAAAGAATCAAAATTACAAATAGTTAAAACGGTAATATAAAGATGCATGATATACAGACTACAGCATGTTACTAACAGTGACTTATATTCATAAGAAGTGATATAAGAGCTATTATCTAGGACATGTATGATCAGAAAGGGAATGGGATGATCAAGTATAGAGACAGAGGAAAGAGTTCAAGTACACAGATATTTCTAAAATATGGAATAAAAAAAAAAAGAGAAAGGTCTCCAGCATGTATGGTGGATCTCATTCATAGAATTTCTGGAAGCACATGGTTGAGAATTGCCCAATGTAAAGAGGCTGTGATCTATATCAGAAAAGGAAGCCTCACACCAAAAAAAAAATCATGACTTCCTCAAAGTGACTAAGAGGGAAGCAGTAAGCACTATATGAAGTCAACGTGGAACAGATTAGCTAAGGAGCATTTCATTGAGGAATATGGGTTTGTATTTGGATAGGCTGGACAGGATTTGGATAAATAGGGAGAAGGACATTTAACATTTGGGGAAAAGCATAAGTAAATACCAGGTGTTCCAGAAGTCCTCTTAAAATACAAATACACCATGAAGTAAAAATTTGTGAAGATTTTATCCATTATTAAGTCCTTAGCACATATTTGTCAGATTTTTCTTAGAGAAGGGGACATAATTGGTATTTTTTGGTGGTGGTGGTTTTCTAGAAACAGTGTACTACCCAGGGAAGTAAAGCTTGGGTTTAGCCTTATAGGGAATCTAGGTATATAGAAGCTAGATAAATATGGAAGCAGTAGCACTAGAAACCTAGGGAAGGAACGAAGGAAAAATGGAGTGTGAGAAGAATCCTAAAAGGGAAAGTAGGATGGCCACGAAAATAAATTTTTTACATCTTGTCATGTGGACTTTACTCTTTTTCCCTGGGTAATTTAATAATTTTTTAAAAAATTATTTATTTAGTTTAAGCTTTCAACATTCACTTTCATAAGATTTTGAATTTCAAATTTTCTCCCACACCTTTTCCTTCTCCCTCCCCAAGACAGCAGTGCAATCTGATATACGTTCTACATATACATTAATATTAAACACATTTTCACATTAGTCATGTTGTAAAAAAAGAATTAAAACCAATGGGAGAAACCATGAGAAAGAAAAAAAAACTAAACATAAAAAAAGAGAGTGAGAGACAGAGAATACACATCATATGTCTTTTGGAGCTGTCTTAGATCTTTGCAATGCTAAGATGAGCTAAGTCTATCAAAGTCAGTCATTGCACAACATGGCTGTTACTGTGTACAATGTTCTCCTGTTTATGCTGACTTCACCCTGCATCAGTTCATGTAAGTCTTTCTGAAGTCTGCCTGCTCTTCATTTCTTTTTTTGGGGGGGTTAGGCAGTGGGGTTAAGTGAACTTTCCCAGGGTCACACAGCTAGTAAATGTTATGTGTCTGGGGCTGGATTTGAACTCAGGTCCTCCTGAATCCAGGGCTGGTGCTCTACCCACTGCACCACCTACCTGCCCTGCTCATCATTTTTTATAGCACAATAGTATTTCATTACATTCATATACCACAATTTGTTCAGCTATTCCCCAATATGATGGGCATCTCCTCAGTTTCCAATTCTTGGCCACCACAAAAAGAGCTGCTATAAATATTTTTGTACATATGGGTCCTTTTCTGGTTTTTGTGATCTCCTTGGGATACAGCACTAGGAGTGCTATTGCAGGGTCAAAGGGTATACACATTTTTATAGCCCTTTGTGCATAGTTCCAAATTGCCCTCCAAAATGGTTGGATCAGTTTCCAACTTCACCAACAATGTATTAGTGTTCTAATTTCCCCACATCTTCTCCAACATTTATCATTTTCCTGTTTTGTCATGTTAGCCAATCTGATAGGTGTGATGTGGTACCTCAGAGTTGTTTTGATTTGCATTTCTCTAATCAATAGTGATTTAGAGTACTTTTCCACATAACTAGCTTTAATTTCTTCCTCTGAAAACTGCCTGTTTATATCCTTTGACCATTTATCAATTGGGGAATGACTTGTATTCTTACAAATTTCACTCAGTTCTCTATATATTTTAGAAATGAGGCCTTTATCAGAGACACTGGTTATAAAAATTGTTTCCCAGCTTTGTGCTCATGAAAATAAATTTTATCCTAATATGGCTTCAGCAAAATTGAATATGTAATTAAACCTTTCTTGAAAAAAGTTTTAAGTATATGTATAAAATATAAGTTTGATTTAAATCATCTTAAATTTTTATATAGAGGGCGAGTATTAAATTCCCATGGAAAAAAAAAGATGAAAAAAAGCTGTTGAATCTTTTCCACTTTCACTACCTGTTGCCTCTAAATATTGCAATTAATAAATTTTTATCTAGTAGTTCAGAATGGCAAATGTCTCCTTTGCTCAAGTTTTCTTTAAAGAGTATCATTTGACATTTCTTTTTGATATAGCACTTTTATAGCTAGCGCTAGAAATATCATGGAATCTACCAGCATAGACTTTTTAGTAAAACCACTGAAGAAAAACTTACATGATCTTGATATTTCTTCAGTTTGCATATTTGCTCCCCTTTCACTTCCATGTTTCTTGCTAAACATTCCAGTTCATATTCTATTTCTGCATTAACTGAAAGTCTTTGACTTTCCTGTACTCGCTTCAAAAGTTCTTGGTGTTCACTAGGAGAGAAAAGCAAATTATTATGAATGTCTATACTCATGATATACGCTTTTGGTATATTTCTCCAAAACATTTTCACAAAAGTAATGTAACTCCCAAGAGCTACATACTAATATTTTAAAAAGTCAAGACTTTTTGTACAAAATGTACAAAGCTTGGCTTTTGAGGTTTCCAAATTTTACTGCTTTATCAATCTCTTGCCCTGCCTTTAAAAAATCCTTTACATTTAAATGTTTTATAAAAAATCTTAGATGAGGAATTCCTGATATAGTGACAACGAACCTCGCAACTCTAGAACTGTTTGCTTAGGAAAATTCCAGAACACTTTTGACATGTGATTTAAAATGCTGACAAAGGGACTAGTTTCTATTTTAAACTTAAGTACAGAACTAAGCTTATGACTTGCTACCTCTCAAAGAGCTGTGGTAGATCAGTCCTGGTAGGAGTGTCAATTCTGGACCATGATACAAATTTATCAATTATAGCATCTTACATACTCTGGGTACTTCCAAGTCTGAAACTCTGATAACAGATGAACCATGGTCTACAACAAGTATGTGCATTTTGGGGCGCCTAATGAAATCACAATTCCAAAGGGAGGTATTCCTCGTAGTGTCTTTTGTGGGATAAAATAAAATATTATAAAGTACTAGAACCTGACGTTTATAAAGAAAATTTTAGCTATTAGTCCAAAAAACAGGAATAAAGAAACACGTTAGACTAGCTATGGGTATTCATTTAAGAAAAAACAAGATAAATGTTTAGTCATATTCAATCTATAATTTTAAGAAAGCTACTGTCAGATAAGTCCAATAAAACATTATGACTCTGTGATATAACATCTTTGAAGTAACTCTCCAAAATAAGTAATTCTTTAAAGCCAAACAGATTCTACATTAAGGCCAAAGAAGGAATGCAAGAAATCTACAAGGAACATTATCCCCAGGGAAACAAAATATCTAAATACTTTATCACCTCTCTTTCCGAAAATAAACACTCCAGAAAATACTTACATACTCATTTGGTCCAGTTCATCTTGCATAGCCATCACTAGATCAGTCAAACCATCACCAATTGAAGTGGATTTACTAGAGTAAGAGGAGGTGGGTCTGCATCGGACAGTTCTTTTACTAATAGCCCTGCGTTCAGGTGCTTCGGGGCACGCCTGAAGGGAAGGTGAGTTGCCATGTTTCGTCATATTCAGGATGGTTTGCACACTTGCATTCACAAAATGACTCTCATTGGCAGACTTAAAAGGGAAAACAAAGCTAAAGACAATTTCAAATGACTGGTACTTTAAAATAGCATTTATCTAGTTAAATTAGGACAGTCTTTAAAACAAATATACTGCCTTCATTATTTTCTTACCTTTCCAATGGCACCAAACTTTGAATGAGTCTGCTGAAGTCCTTTCTTTGAACTTTTTTTTCCCTGAAGAATAATAGTATAGTATAAATAGGAATCCTTTATAAAAAATATTGCTTATGTATATTTCACCGACGGACCTTTTTTCCCCCAGGGACACTGCACTTTGGCAAGAGACCATCTCACAAAATATCTGTTTCATAAAGAAAAGACAGCAAAGTATTTCTAATCCTATTTTATTTTTTAAAGCCATGTTAGTAGAATATAAGTTCTGATAGATTCTTTCATCCTGGAAATACTTCAAGTATAGTCTCACTGACAAAATGATATCTGCCCCATGAAGGAATGTTTAGGTAAGTATGAATAGGCACATAAACAGAAATATGGTATAGTGTAGAGAGCACAGGATTTGGAGTCAAGAGATCCTAAGTACAAATGCCACCTCAGATAACTTACTAGCTGTGTGACCCTGTATGTCACTTAACTTCTTACTCTCAGGTTACTCATCTGTAATATAGGGATAACAGCAACTACTTCACAGGGTTATTGTGAGAAACAAATAAAATAATACATACAAAGCACTCTGCAAAACTCAAAGCACTATATAAATGCTAGTGCTAGCTATTAATGATTATTTCTTTGGCCATGGTAACCAAGAAAGAAAAACAAAATAATGGCCCTCACTCCTGCAAGGTCCTCCCTCTCCAGCAGTGGCAGTGAAGTGGGAAGAACAAAGGGTAAGACTCACACAGTTTTGAGATGTCTGCAAACATAATTAAATGCGAAATATTTGACAACAACCAGTAAAGTCAACATGCTACTAAAAGAACTGAATTCTATTAATTTTGACTTTCTTGGGATAATTGAAACAAGGAGATAAAAAAAAGCTGCAGTCAAATGAAATGGTAGCTCAGAAGTTTTCCTTGGAGAAGCAAATAAAGGAATTGGTGGAGTTAACTTCACTGTATATCCAAAGGCAATGGGATATCATCTTATGGGTCTCTTGGTAACGATGCTTTGCAGGACTCACAAAAGAGCCTAAGCAAAAAGAGTGTTATGAAGATAATTTCAGCTTCTGTACCAACATCAGGTGCAGAGGAAGATGAAGTAAAGAAATTTTCAAAAGTAGACAAAGGGAAGGGAAGTAAAAACAATTAGATTTGGTTAAGGATCAAGAAGCAAAAGAGATTAAAAACTCATAGACTCCTCATTAGCCTCATGCCCATAAATTACAAATAAGGTCTTCAAGAACAGAGTCAGAAGATGTTAGATATGACAAGCCCTAAAGAGCATTTTAAAAAGAAACTGAATGAATTATAAAATACGAAAGAACCAGTTACCAATGTGAGAATCATTTCCGAATTGTCTGAATTAACTACTGACTTGTTAAGGCAAAGATAAAAAACAAAAACAAAAACAAATAGGACAAAACAATAAAGATGGTGTGCAACTGATGGAACTGCTACCAGATATATTTAAATGAGTTGTTGATACCAAAAAAACCCCAAAAACCTGAGTCCAGGTTTGCAAGTTAGGAAGACCTGAGTTTGAATCCTGTCTATTTAACTATGAGCAAGTTACTTGATTCCTCTTCAGTCAGTTTCCTCATATGGAAAACTAGGAATAATAATAACACAGATAATATATGTAAAACACTTGCAAATTTTAAGATGTTATGTAAATGCTAACTATTATCATTAGCATGGACTGTCATAATTTCTTATGGAATTTTTTTTAACCAGTATAAAGTAACTATCATAACAAGGTCAAAAGGCACTGTAACCACTGCAGCCAGCAAACATCTAACCTCTTGCCAAACAAAGAGACAAAGACAAGGGAAATTCCTGTTCAATATAGAACTCAGTTTTAAAGCCTTATTGAAGAAGATGGAAGCTAATGAACAGTGCTACCTTATAAAAACACTGCTGAGTGGGAAGAAGAAAAAAGAATGAGCAGAAAGCTTGGTTCAAGGCCCAATTAAGCAAGATTTTTTCAATAGCATTTAAGGGTGAAACTGGAAGAAAACAAAGAAGTGAGGAAAGGAAATTTTCACATTATTTCTAAAACAAACTTTTCTACCTGATGACAATGGAGCTATTATATCAGGAATCTAATATGAAAAATCAGGAATTAGAAATGGCACTAAGGAAAACTAATACAGGAAGATCAGCTGGAGCAGACCAAGCATATATGGAAGAAATGCATGCTGGAGGCAACACCATTTTGAAGATATTGAGGAATCAGTTTTTAATCTGAAAGAGAAGAAGTTATTGAATAATTCTTAAAAAGGGGGTGTTATTACACTTATGAAAAGGTGATTCAGAGGGCATGAATAATTATGGACTTATATGCTGACCTTGTCATTTCTATAAAATCTTTATAAGAATGATCTACAATGGCAAATAGACAATGAAATGAGTCTTGAATGGAGCAGTAGTACAGTAAGTTGAACTGCATTTGGAAAATTGCTAGCACTTTCAACTATCCCAAGTTGCTTTTTGAAACACAATTCTTTTTTAATAGCAATATTCTTCTGATGATGCTATATGTCTGAGACTTGTGGAATACCACAGTCTCCGAGGGGTCTAAAGCATGAATAAAAACATAAATTCTTCTGTTTAGTTTTTGGGCTTTTTTGGTGAGGCAATTGGAGTTAAGTGACTTGCCCCGGGTCACACAGCTAGTAAGTGTTATGTGTCTGAGGCCGGATTTGAACTCAGGTCCTCCTGACTCCAGGGCCAGTGCTCTATCCACTGTGCTACCTAGCTGCGCCTTCTTTTTAGTTTTTAAAGCTCTTTATAAACTATCACCAATCTATCTTTCCAGGCTCAGTGTGTATTATTTCGTCTCCTACAAGCTGATAACCTGCCAAGATGGCCCTTTTGGTATACCTTACATCTGACAATCCATCTGCCTCTGTGCCTTTGTGATGGCTGACCTTCATGCCTAGAATAACCTACCTTTTCACCTTTACTTCATAGAATTCTTTTCTTCCTTACATATACATCTCAAGTATCACCTCCTACATGAAGTTTTTCCTTATCTTCTCAACCAACCTCTCAAGTTACCATGTGTTCTTTTTATATTTATTCTTTATATACATACATATGTACTTATTGTCTTCCCAGTTAGAATATAAGCTCACTGTGGGTACAGATTGTTTCATTCAGGGTATTTCTATCTTTAGCACCTGGTACACCTAAAACAATACTCAGAGCATGGTTTGTGTTTAATGAATACTTGTTGATTGATTGCTGCCTCTAAGGTTGGCTTTCTGACTACTATATCACAGTGTTTTTTGCCTTGCACATAGTAGGCATATAAAATCTGTTGAATGGAAAGAACAGTAAAAGGCAATAAACCTCAGGATGAATATAATAGATATTGTTGGCTGGAAATTATTAAAGGTAAATCACATTCACTCTATAAGACCGTTTTGCTTAACAATCTTTTGTGAATGTACTTTTCGGAGTTGTCTGAATGTTTGTTGGAGAAGTATCCTCTGTGTCAGAAAAGAAAAATTATCAATTAAAATAAGCTCAAAAAAGGGAAGGAAATCCAACAAGGTACTGAACTATAATTCTTTGGGGAAAAAATCTTATAATAAGAGGGAAGTCAAGTTAAGAATAAATAATTATTCATTCACACCAGAGTTGTAGACACATTAGATTTAATTAAAGTTGTAGAGAGAATACTAATGGAAAAGCAAAGTACCATTGTAAATTCATATGATAAAAGGAAATTGTACCTTTTCTCTTAACTTCAATTAAGCAGTCAAAAATGACAATTAAATGCTTATCATGTATTTCTTAATTAAACAAAATACCCCATTACTTGAAAGCTATAAGCATAGAAACAATAGAATATTATCAAACACTAGCATGTTGACAATTATACACCTACATTTTTTAGGTAAATGTTTATACTGTTACCTTTGCAGATTTCTTTTTCTTGGTTTGTTGTGAAGGTAGAACTGAAGACATTAAAATTCTATTGATCTCAAGTCCAGTTTGAAGCTGTATCAACAATCATAATAATGATTTGCTACAAGTTTCTTCAAAAATATTGAGATCAGATACTCATTTATATTTTAAAAATGAACATCATTAAATTGCTTTATCACAACTCAAAATGATTAAATTGCATCTAGAAATAGGAATGAAAAGTATCTAAGATACTCTTTATCACTTTAAAAAAAGATATTACATTTCTTGTTAATCTTTAACATTCTGAGCTTATAAGAAAAAACACTATTATCAACATTTATTTGTTAAATAAAATAAAAATTATCTACCCTAAGAGCTGTTCTGGGTAATATCTTCAATTGAGAATTTGTATTACATTATAAATTCTTTGTTGATTATTTTATTGTTACACAAACTATTATTTTTGAAAGAAGAGGAAGAAATAAGTATTCTTATTTTATCTCACTAATGGAACAGAAAGTATATAATCAAACATAATTTTGAGGGTCAGGATGTAGAGCTGTTTATTTTACCTGAGCAGCACTGTCTTGAATTAGCTTACGCTGATGTTCTTCCTCAATAAGTTTTTGCTCTAAATGTTTAATCTTCTCCTGTAAAAGAAAATGACTGAGTTACACACAAGAATCACATATTTTTTGTTCTTTATTCAAATTAAACTAAATCATTTCCAAGGATATAGGGTCTTTATAATTATAACAAGTTAAGGAATGACAAGTTGCCACGGTTATTTTTGTTAGCTTTCTTCATGTCGTTCCTGTGCCTTCTTTACCTTTTATCATAAATGATAACAAAGGGCAGGGAGAGAGAGAGAGAGAGAGAGAAAGAGAGACAGACACACTCAAAGACTTGTTTTAACTTACTGATTTCCAGCTAACAACTATAGTGCTGAAAGTCTTGGGAGTACTCAAACTATGAATGATTGATCAAGTCTAACTATTCTAAGATCTCACTGTTTCAGGCAGGGCCCCAACAAACCATCATAAACAATTTATCAATGCCTAGCATTGTTTAGGCACAGTGGGGGATACAAGAGAAGTGTAACATAGAGTCCTTTTCCTTTTACTCGGGGAGATAAGAATAAAAGACATGAAAGTCAAGAACAATGAAATAATTAAAATGTTAAAAACCAACCACCTAATAAGAACTTACTATATTAAAATATGAAGGTAGGTATTTGAAGAGATAAAAACTTTAATACAAAACATGATCCTTTCCCTCATGGAGCTTATAGTCTAGTAAGGGGGATATGAAACGTGTACAAATTACATGCAAACCAAATAACATAACATAAAAATAACAGATTGTGAAATTTGAGGAGGTAGGAAAGAGATCCCAGGGCAAAGATTTATAAATGAGGTAGTATCTGAGTTGTACTTAAAAGGTAGGTTAAAACTTTTAACTGATGGAGAAGACATTAATATTGGGAAAAGCAGGGGAAAAGGCAGTAACATGCAAGATGTATGTAGAGAAAACATAATGGCATGCTATGATAACAAATTAAGCATAATAAACATTTTTAAAAGGAAGAGATCAATGAGGGTTAGAGAAGGTCTTCATGGAGGAAAAGTAGGGCCTGACCAGGATCTTGATGGATGGGTAGGATTTGGATAGATGGGGAGATGTATTATGTTCATAGGTATGACTTTCCTTCCAGTGAAAAAGAGATAATAAACACTCTTCAGAATGCTTAATCACATTAGCTATCAAATGGAATTGCTTTGCCACCTTAGGAGGAGCAAATGTCAAAATCAAAATTCCACACTCACGTAATCACAGAGCACATTAGCTTTTATCTCTGTAGACAGAATTCATGTGTGGCTTACCAAGTTACAAATGGAGTTTGATAAATTTAATATAATCATCACTTACATTTACTTTCAATACCAATTATACTAAACACCAAGATTTATTTACTCTTCACAATGACACTTCAAAGAAACAAGCAGAAGCTTACCTCAGCTGTCTTCTGAGTAGTTGTTAGCCTGACACATTCTTTTTCTAAGACTTCAAGTTTTTCAAGTTTCTCATTCAGCTTTATCTGATCCCGACCCTTTTCCCACTGAAGCTGGAAAAAATATAAACAAAAACTGAAATTTGCAAGTGATAGTGATAGTTCAGGGATTACAATTTTGGAGGAGCCAGAGCACATTGACTGAGGAATGACTAAACAAACTGTGTTATATGAACATAATAGAATATTACTACATTACTACATTGTATTAATGAATGTGATGAATACAGAGGAGCATAGAAAGAACTACATGAACTAATACAGACTGAATGTAGTACAACTACAACAATGTAAATGGAAAGAATCACACACAAAGAAATCAAAAGTGAATGTGGCAAAATTATAAAGATCAGGTATGACTTAAAAGAAGAGATATGAGAGGAGACTCCCAAACACCCATTTGTGGAGGTAGGAGGACCACAGTTGTACACTGTATTTGTTTCTGGACTTTTTCAATGTACTGACTGTGCTGACTTTTTCCCTCTTCTTTTTCCTCTGTAGAAATACTATTTGTTACATGGGATGGTTCTGTGGGAAGAGGTGGGGAAACAATACTGGGGAAAACTATGATGATGTAAAAAATAAAAGATATCAATAAAAATTTGTTTTTAAAAAGCATGTGTTCATTTTAGTAAATATAGCACACAAAAAGGTGTGCTATGTTATCACAGGAAACACAATCATTTCTTTTCATAAGAGATAGATATGTTGCTGTGAATATCATTTATATAAAATTAATAATTCATGTCTTAGGTGATGCCACACACCTTCATTCACCCAGTCCTTTACAATGGCCAAACTGCCTCCCCTTAAATCAAAAAGCCTCCACGTAGTTGTCAGAGAAGGATCTATATAAGTGAGTATTTTAAGAAAGAAGCTGATACGAAAGAATGTTGGATTCACAAGGCAGAATTTTCTCTTCCATAAGCTCAGATGTTTGGAATATTTGGGGTTAAATCCTATGCTTAAAGTTCATGTGTTTTAAGAATACATTTTTAAACTTGGATTTAAACAGGTTTGAATCATGGCACTTGAGAGGTCCATTCCTTACATCTACTTTTTACCCATCCCTATATTCATTTTGGACTTTCCTCACCTTCAGAGGAAGATAAGGGGACCCACCATCCTTTAGTTAGCAACCCAGGCATTTCTACTCAGATATCCCACTTGAATCTTAAAATCAGCCTGGTCAAAATCACATTTATTCTCTGTCCCACTAAATCTGCTCCTTCTTCTGACTTAACTATTTCTATTTGTCACATCATCATTTAACCATTTCCATACATTTCACCTCTAATGACTGTTTGATTTTTCCCTATTCTTCACCTCATAGTACATCAGTTTTCTCTCATGTCTTGTTTCCACCTGTGTGATGATTTTGCACGCAGTTCCTATTCTCTCTAGCCCAGGAGTTGTCAAACTAGGCCCAGGGCCAAACTGCCTGCTTGTTATCATACAGCCATTGAACTAAGACTTTTTTTGTGGGTTTTTTTAAAAACAAAAACAGGTATATTCACCCACCCACCCATAATACTTACAAAATAAGATCAATTTTGGGAGTGAGGACACTAGCAGCTGCAGGGATAGGTGGTGGCGGTAGTGGTGGTGGTGGTGGTGGTGGTGGTGGTGGTGGTGGTGGTGGTGAGGAAAGGCTTCAAGTTGTAGGTGTGGCACAAGCAGAGTTTTGAAGGAAACAATGTATTTTAAAAAGAAGGAGTGAGGTGGGAATGTACTCCATGCATGGAAGGAAGCCAGTACAGTACAAACAGAGATAAATGTAAAGGTTGACATTGGTTATTAAGGGAAAAAAACTTCACAAGTCTAAGAGACAGGAGGTATGGTTGGGCTGTCTTCAGAAAGAGTGGGTTACCTGTCACTGTAGGTCTTTGTTTAAGTCTGGATAGTCTACTTGTAGGGTTATCATAGCAGAGATTCCATTCAGGTATGAGTTGGATTAGATGGCCTTTAAGATCCCTTATAACTTTTAAATTACATGACTCCGGTAATGTACCAAAATGACACTGGGATGAAGTGTATTTTAGGAGCCTGAACTCTTTTCTGTTATCACTGCTTATATAAAATAGATGTACCTGTTGTTGCTCTAGGGCAAAATTCTTTTCCTGTTCTGCATTCAAAATCACTTTCTTTGTGAGTTCCAGTTGTTTCTCTAGAACAGAACAGCGAATCTGGGCAGCACTGAGCTGTGCACTTATGTCTATCAAAAAAAGAAAGAAGCAAATAAGTAGTTGGTACTCCATTCTCACATTTAACTTCAGAGATTTCATAAGATTCCTTGTAAGTGGAATCATGTGACTATCTTAGTAATTTTAAATAAAAATTATACCAGTGATGCCAGCACAATGGCTGACTTACATAGGAAATGGATTATTACTCCTTGGGTGTACTATGGGAGCCATTAAGTAGTATAGTTTACTGTAAGAGTGTGTGTTATTCTTGGTGTATCATGATGAAGATGCTGCTTATGAACCATTAAAAAGATGTTCCCCCAGTAATGTGATTAATTGGCAATTATTTGCAGGTTATTTTACTCCATACCACTTTTAATCTATACCTACATGCCTGCGATAGGCTACTTCCTAGCCTGTGAACGTGGAACGGATCAAAACTAATTATTCTAAATAGGGATAATAATGGCTCTGGTCCAAGGACTATATTTTAGTCAAATAAGCTACATAGATACAAAAAAAACTATGATGCTACGTAACATCTGGCACAATGAAAAGAGTACTGGATTCAAGACTCCTAAATTTTAGTTCTCCCTCTACCACTAACTAGCAGTGTGATTTCCCAGTAAGTCACTTACCTGCCACAGGCTATTATCAATGTTGATAAGAGGGGGGTAAGACAAAATCAGTGAAATTAAAATAATAATCTTTCTGTTTCTGAAAATTATTGGACTACCTCACCTTTTCTTTGCTTTATCAGTTCCTGGTGTGCCAGGTTTCTCTCATTATTTTCATTCTGCAAGGCTTTTTTATACAATGCAGCCTCTTGGGAAAGGGTATTCAGGTTATCTTCAGCTTGTGTCCTCTCTAACTCTAGTCGATGAATCTTATCCTGAAGAGTTTTCAGAGCCAACAAAAGAGCTATTGGGAAAAAAAAACCATAAACTTAGGTCTATAAGGGAGAATTTTTTAATGGCACTTTTGTGCTATTAAAAAAAAAGAGTGACATACTGTTTGTAATTATCAAATTAACAAAAGATTTCAAACGTTAAACTCCCCAAACAAGTTAAAAATATGAACAAGTCTAAATAGTGTGAATTGCTTATTTTTAACAACATATGTAAAACTCTTATCTCTATGATATTAGTAATTTTAAGGCTTACTTTACAATTACATAAAAAAGCAAATTTGGAAAATATACCATGAAACCCAGGAAGGAAAAAGCTGAAATAACAGACTTAGAATCTTAGCTCAGAATCTACAAACTTACTTTTCAATCAATCAGTGAAAATGTAAGTAGCTGCTATTTACCAGGCACTGTGCTAACCAGTAGGGATACAAAAAGACGTCAAAGACAGTCCCTGCCCTCAAGGAGCTCAAAATCTAATGGTGGAAACAACAAGCAATAAACAAATATGTACAAATAAGTTACATATAGGATAAACAGGAAATCATTAACAGAGGAAAGACACTAGGATTAAGCTATGCTGGGAAAGGTTCCTGTAGAAAATGTAGAAAATGAGATTTTAGTTGGCCCCTAAAGGATGAGAGCACATTCCAGGCATGGGGAACAATAGCAAAGAATTCTTATGCTTTATTCCCTGCCATGATCCAATGACACTGGCCTCCTACCTGCCCCACGAACAAAATCCTCCATCTCTTGGCTCCAGGCATTTTCTCTGGCTGTCCCACGTGCCTGGAATGCTCTTCCACCTACTGACTTTCCTAACTTCCCTATTTTTACAGAAATTGAGTGTGTGTGTGTGTTTGTGTGTGTGTGTGTGTGTGTGTGTGTGTGTGTGTGGAGGGGGTGACATGGTGACACCTGAGCTTTCAGTGACTGAATAGAGTAGGAGGAGACTTGAGACAGGCACACCCACAAGCAGGTTACTGCAATAGTTGAGTGGTGAGGTGATGAGGGTCTGCACCAGAGTGATGGCAGTGTCAGACAAGACAATGGGACATATCTGAGAGATGTTACAAAAATAAATTGACAGGCTTTGGCAAGAGTTTGAAGAATTCAAATATGTCCTTTCCCAAGTGCTTGAAGAGAATATCAACCAATCAAACAATAAACATTTGTTGAACACCTAATATGCAAGGTATCTTACTAAGCCATCAGACTTTCTACAAAAAGGCATTTATGACACTCTGCCTATTAGAAATTTACCACACAACTGGCATTTGATGCCAGGTTTTGGTTCTTGGGGGAAAAAAAGCAAAAAGTGTCATTATGTGATTAGAATTAAGCTCACTGAGGGCAGAGATTGTATAATTTTTATATTTATGTCCCCAAAGCCTTGCATGGTACCTGGAACATAATAGATGTTTAATAAACACTTGTTGATTGATTGAAAAGTGATCTCCTTGGGGTAGATATTGTTCGTTTCAGTTCAGGAAAGTTCATAGCCAATAAATACATCATATGATCTTTCAATAACTACTATTTTATTCTCTAGATTAGAAAATAACTCTCTCTCCCCCTCCCTCCCACTATCTCTCTCTCTCTCTGTAGAACTGAAAAGTTTATCTAGGTACATAAAAATTGAATTGGGAAAATAGAAGATAGGAACTGGAACTATGATTTCATTGGAATGCAAAATTCCCAGAAGAACTTCCTCTACCAATGCAGATCTGCCCTTTATTTGCAACTTAATTGCTGTTGTTTTCTTTTGGTTAGACAATGGGGTTAAGTGACTTGCCCTGGGTCACACAGCTAGTGAGTGTCATATGTCTGAGTTCATATTCGAACTCAGGTCCTTCTGACTCCAGGGATGGCGCTCTATCTACTGTGCTACCTAGCTGCCCCCTGCAACTTATTGTTTTAAAGAGGTGCCTAGAACACTGAGAGGTTAAGTGACTTGCTTCAAAGGAAGACAATCCGAACGTGTCAGAGGTGAAACTTGAACTTGGGTCTTCCTGCCTGCTAGGTCAGTTCTCTATTCATTACTTCATGCTGCCTCTATGAAGAAATATACTGAAAATAAAATAACAGCTCACATTTCTATGTGGCTTTTAGGTTCCCACTTTACACATATGACTTCATTTTATCCTCATAACCGTTCTTTGAATTAGATAGTCTAAGAATTATCATCTCCATTTTACAGGTGAAGAAAGTGAAGCTCAGAAAGTTCGTAGAGCTCCTATGACATACTCAGGACTCAATGTTGGATATTCTGACCCCAAATTCAGTGTTCCTGCCAAGAGATTATATTGTCTAATTTTTAAATTATACTTATATAACTCTAATATATAATATTGTCTCCAATCTATATCTGATTTGAATACGTATGATATAATCTTTTCCCAAAGCAGAGTTTCTAAAAACAAAAACAAAACAGAACAAAAACAAAGCATATTCTCTACCTTCCAGAACAGTGGTCTCCAAAAGTAGTCTGACCCCAAGAATGAGGCGAACTAACCTCAGAAGGTGTGTAATCAACCAATAAGGTTACATTCTACCTTCCCTACAGCAGCCAATCATGGAACTTGTCTCCAATACAAGCTCACTGACCGTTTTCTCCCAGCATTTTCCCATTCCTCCTAACTCTGCTATTCAAACTCCCTCACTGCTGTACCTTGGGGGTCCTAAAATTACCAATTTCAACGTGTGATTCTATGTACTATAATTAACCATGTTAGGAAATATGAATGTTATGTTATTTGACTGCTACCCAATAATGTTCATTGGTGTTTTCTAGCATTTGAATATTCACGATAGACTACAGTTCTTGGTAATTACCACTAAACTTAATATTTCTTATTTATTAAACTATATTTAATAATTTAAATTCACATCCATAATAATAAGCAAAGATTCTGAAGAATGTTGGAAGTATTTTAAAGAGAGATAAAGAAAATCAGTCAGCTCATTGAAAGATTTTAAATCACTGTCAAAATACACTGATTTATAATAATAATAATCCATGCATTTCTTATATTGCTTTTACATTAAACTTCTGAAACTTTCAGTATAACCCTATCACAGAAAAATGATTCGTTGTTTATTATTATAGTTACTCATTATTTAAAAACACATAAACAAAATGCTATGAAAAATACAGAATAACATGATTTTGGGAAATTCATGCTTAAATGAATTTAAGTATAATATCTGTCAGGAATTTGGAAACACTGCTTTATCGCAAGCATGTATAATGTTTTATTTCATTATAATAATAATATATATAACATAATAAGATGTTATATTACATATTATACATTATATAATAATATAATATATAATAAGACATAATAATATACAATGAAGAATTACATTGGCCTTACCATGGCTGTTTGGAATAGAAAGGGGCTCCAACTTCTTAGGCAGATTATCTTGAGGTGCTGCTTCACGGTATGCAACTGAAGGGTTAGTTATTTTATCTGGCGGCTTACGATAGCTTCCTATCATACTGTGCTTAAATTCAGCATACATTATCTAAAAAAGGAATGGAGAAATATATTATATATGATCATCCTTTCTTAAGTAGATAATATTTGAGGATTCAGGTGAGATTTTATGTTGGTTTTTGATATTACAGGTATGCTATGCTAGAATCATCTGGTTTAAAAGGGATCTGATAGGTGAACTATTCCTTGCTCTCCCAGTTTGCTTACAGTATCAGCCTTTATATCTAAATCATGAACCCATTTTGACTTTATTTTGGTATATGGTGTAAGATTCTGATCTATGACTAGTTTCTGTCATACTCTTTTCCAGTTTTCCCAGCAGTTTTTGTCAAAGAGTGAGTTCTTATCTTACAAGTTGAGGTCTTTGGGTTTATCAAATAGTAGATTACTATAGTCATTGACTACTGTGTCATGCATATTTAACCTATTCCACTGATCCACCACTCAGTTTCTTAACCAGTACCAAGCAGTTTTGATGATTGCTGCTTTATAATACAATTTAAGAATGAGAATGGCCAGGCCACCTTCCCTAGTATTTCTTTTCATTAGTTCCTTTGATATTCTGGACCTTTTCTTATTCCAAATGAATCTTGTTATTATTTTTTCTAACTGTATAAAATAATTTTTGGTAGTTTGATTGATATGACATTAAGCAAATTAGCATAGGTAGAATTGTCATTTTTATTATATTAGCTCGGCCTACCCATGAGCAACTGATATTTTTCCGATTATTTAGATATGACTCTATTTGTGTGAAAAGTGTTTTGTAAATGTATTCATATAATTCCTGGGTTTGTCAGTCTCCTCTCTTTGAAAGAAAGATTCTTTTGTTCCAGGAAAGGAAACCACACAATCTCAACATCTGATTAGCTGCAATGTATATGCCCATTTCTTTAACGGTGGGTGAGTGAAGTTTAAAGAAGTTAACAAAGACGTAACCACAAATAATTTGAGCTTGTGCTAACTTATTAGGAACACAGGAAACACAATACATTCGTTTTTACTTTCAACAGTGTTTTGAATAAGAAATGAGTCAAGTTCACAATTCTAACTTTAGAGGTGTTTTTTCCTTACAACTAACATTAGAACATATTAAATGATATATGATAAATGATTACATGAAATTTTTTGCATAAATAAATGTTTTACTAGATTCAATTACTAAATATGACCAAGTAACATAAAACAGAAAAAAAATAATTTAATAGTAAAATTAAAATGTATTCCCAAATTATCATCAATTGCTCAGAATATACATGGGATCAGAGGATTTAGGATTAGATGGGACTTCTTAGAGAACTAATACAAGGATTCTTAACTTGGAATACATGAATTTAAAAAAATATATATTGATAACTGTATTTCAGTATAACTGGTTTCCTTTTAAATCCTATGTATTCTTTTTTATGCATTTAAAAAATTATTCTGATAAGGAGTCCACAGGCTTCACCAGAATGCCCAAAGGGCCTGTGATACACAAAAAAGTTAATAATCCATAATCTAGTCTAATTTATCTTTTTTAAAGAGAAGAACAAGGAGCCCCAAATTATCTGTGAAGTAGCTTTTTTGGTAAAAATAAAATAGCTTTGTAATTTATTCATTTAAAAAGCAAAGGGAGGGGCAGCTAGGTGGCACAGTGGCTAGAACACTGGCCTTGGATGTGTCAGAAGGACCTGAGTTCAAATCTGGTCTCAGACACTTGCTAGCTATGTGACCCATGGCAAGTTATTCAACCTTGTTTGCCTTGGTTTCCTCCTCTGTAAAATAAGCTAATTATTAGTGATTTAGAACAATTTTCCATATAGTTGTTAATAGTTTGCAACAGTTTTTGAAAGATTACTTGTTCACAGCCTTTGACTAAAATATTTTTTTAAAGAGTGTTCTTGTAATTGAAAATTGTTTTATAGTTTTAAAAATAATTCAGAATGATCCTTAATAATTATTTTTGGTCCACATCTATGATTACATAGAAACTTATATAGCAACTCCTTCAACTCATCTGTTACAATTTCAGAGAACTGCTTGGAGAATTGGGACATTTGCCCATGATTTTCCTGCCTGCAATGCTGTCCTTCCAGCTGTGACAAAAAACAACCTCAATTCTTAACTATATTTTAATAAATATTTATTAAGTATCTGATATGAGAGGTCAGGTTCTTAATTTTAAAAGTTAATTGTATAGATAAGATTATTTCTAGAATTTTTATTCAACTTACCCTTTCATATAACCAATAAAGAGATGAATATACTTGAAATTATTTAATAAAATATATTGAAATAGTTTCAGAAATATACATTATGCCCAATGTGCACATTTGGTAGATGTACAACTTTCATGAAAATAACATGTTGAGGGGCAGCTAGGTGGTTCAGTGGATAGAGCACTGGCCCTGAAGTCAGGAGGACCTGAGTTCAAATTTGGCCTGAGACCAAACACTTGACACTTACTAGCTATGTGACCCTGGGCATTTCACTTAACTCCAATTGCCTAAAAACGAATAAACAAACAAAAACAAACAAACAAAAAAGAAAATAACATGTTGATCTCTAAAAGTCTCATGATGCTATCCATGTCCAGAGAAAGAGCTATGGAGTTTGAATGCAGATCCAAGTATACTGTTTGCTCTTTTTTTTTCCTTCTGTTTTGTTTTGTTTCCTCTTTCTCGTGGTTCCTCCTATTGGTTCTAATTCTTCCTCATAACATAACTAATGTGAAAATATGTTTAATAGGAATGTATATGTAGACCCTATATCAGATTGCACATCGTCTTGGAGAGGGAGAGGGGGAGAGAAAAATTTGAAACTCAAAAGTGTATGGAAGTGATTGTTGAAAACTAAAAATAAATTAATGAAAAAAAATTTTTAAAGAAAATAACATGTTGAGTACTGAACACTTTCTAATTACATCCTAGCCTGCTCTAAGTGCCAGAAGAATATTTTTATTATTATTTCTATAGTTGATGTTCAATATATAGAAAGGAAAAGCAATTACCAAATAGTGCCCTGGTTTACTGCTTAAAATATGGGATCACTAAACTTAAAATTCTTGTGCTACCTTGGTATTTTATCATCTTGTTTATGGCTTCTATGCTAGTCATGGAAAGAATAACCATGGAAACTTAGGCTGAGTGTTTTAATACCACAGGAAGAAAACCAAGACATTAACACATGTGATAAATACAAACAAAACATTACATGAACACTAAAAGAAAGATGGTACTAGTTCTTTAAAACTGTTAATTTTATGAAAAAGTAACAGCCAAGCTGATTGAAATGGTCTTCAAAACAAAGAAGGCCATACACAGAAAAGACTGATAAGGTTTCTGTCAACTCTACTGGGCACTAAGGGACTAAACTGAAAAAGGGAGGCAAATTTTTATAGTTGAAACTTAAACAGATGCTATTACTCTCCTCAGTTTACAAGCAGAAACGACTTATAAAAGGAGGAAGAATATATTGCATATGATGCTAAATTTTCTGGTCATTTGCAAGTCTCATCCTTGACTTCCTCTTCAGGATTTTACATAGTTGATTACTTTCTCCTCCTGGATATTTTCTTCAGGAGATTTTGTGACTGTTCTCTTGGTTCTCCTGTCTGAAAGCTCTTAGACTCTTTTACTAGATTATCTTCCATATACTATTACCATGTATCATAATAGCCATACTCTGAGATTCTTTCCTGGGCTCTCTTTTCTTTTCTGTCTACATTCTTCTCTCTGTGACATCATCAACTCTCATAGGTTCAAATGATCATATATACACAGGCTACCACATCTAGATAACTAGTTCTAGTTTTTCCTCTTCTAAGCTATAGTCCTATATCAATGATTGACCATTGAACTTTTAAACTGGATGTCTCAAAGAGATCTCAAACTCAACATATACAAAAATAAATTTTTATCCCTCCTCATAGTCCCACTTCCCTTCTGAATGCCCCCTTTCTGTTGAGGGGACCACTATCCTAGTCATCTACGTCTGAAATCATCCTTGGCTCTTCACTCTCTCTTTTTTTTTCTTTTCACTTTTTTGCTTAGGTAATCAGGGTTAAGTAACTTGACCAGGGTCACACAGCTAGTATGTATCGTGTCTGAGGTTGGATTTGAACTCAAGTCCTCCTCACTCCAAGGCTGGAGCTCTATCCACTGAGCCACCTAACTGCCCCTTCACTGTCATTCTTACCCCACACACATACAATCAGTTGCTCTATCTTGTTGGGGGTTTTTTGTTGTTTCTTTTGAGGCAATTGGGGTTAATAGACTTGCCCAGGGTCACACAGCTAGTAGGTGCCTGAGGTTGGATTTCAACTTGGGTCCTCCTAATTCCAAGTCTGGTGTTCTATCCATTGCACTACCTACCAGCCCCAGTTGCTGTCTCTTGTTAATTCTACCTTCACAACACCTCTCCTATTCATTTCGTTCTCTACATTCATATGGCTACCAGCCTAGCTCAGGCCTTTATCTCACCTTGCCTGTGCAAAAGTCAGTCTCTTCCCTTTCTAACTCATCCTCTCATAGAGCTGCAAAAGAATACTACTAAAGCACAGGCTTGATTATATCACCTTCCTGTTCAATAATAAAACTCAGATAGTTCCTCCCTATTACCTCTTGTATCAAATACAAAGTCCTCTGCTAAGCAATTAAAGCCCTTCACAAACTAGCTCCCACCTATCATTCCAACTTGATTCCACATTCCTCTCTCCACACTCTATGATCATTAAACTGGCCTTGCTGTACCTCACAATGACATTGAAATGGATAATAATCCATCTCCCATCTCCATGTCTTTCCAAAGGCTTTCTCCCAATAAACACAATGCTCTCCCTCCTCCCCTCTGCCTCTCAGAATCCCTTGCTTCTTTCATAGTTCAGTTCAAGTGCCAGGTCCTACAAGAAGTCCTTCCTAATCCTCCCTGACTACTAGTGTCTTAACTCTCTTCCCAATATAATTACTTACACACTGTCATACACACACACACACACACACACACACACACACACACACACACACACACACACTATTTTGTACATAT